CAGATCACCTGAGATCAGGAGTTTAAGACCAGCCTGGCCAACATGGTGAAAAACCATCTCTACTAAAAATACAAAGAATTAGTTGGACATGGTGGGCACCTGTAATCCCAGCTACTTGGGAGACTGAGGCAGGAGAATCGCTTGAACCTGGGAGGCGGAGGTTGCAGTGAGCCAAGATCGCACCACTGCACTCCAGCCCAGTGACAGTACGTGACTCTGTCTCAAAAAAAAAGAAATGGCTGATTGTCTGAAGGTAGTGAGTTATCTCAATTGATTGTTCATGATCAGTTACAGATGGAACTCCTTGTTCTACCCTTTTGCCTGTGGTCACTACTGCACTTAACTAGTATATACACATATATTTTAAAAAGTGGCCATGGGCATAATTAAATTTTAAATGAAAGATCCCACAGAGAAAATGATCTCCAATGTGAAAGGAACCAGAATTTTTGTTGTTGTTCTTCATTATTCAACTTGAAGAAACCAGAATTTTGTAGTGAAAACACAAAACAAGGCTGGGCGAGATGGCTCACACCTGTAATGCCGGCACTTTGGGAGGCTGAGGCGGGTGAATCACCTGAGGTCAGGAGTTTGAGACCAGCCTGACCAACATGACCGGTCTGTACTAAAAATACAAAATTAGCCAGGTGTAATGGCGCATGCCTGTAATCCCAGCTACTTGGGAGGCTGAGTCAGGAGAATTGCTTGAACCCGGGAGGCGGAGGTTGTGGTGAGCCCAGATTGCGTCATTGCACTGCAGCCTGGGTAACAAGAGTGAAATTCCATCTGAAAAAAAAAAAAAGAAGACGAAGAAGAAAGAAAACACAAAACAAAAACGGAGCTTTTTGTTTGGTTTTCTGATTAACTCCCCAAATAATGTTACTTATCATTTCTGATTAATGGCCTACGCTTGACAAGGTAGGGATGGCTCTTGGTTCCAGGATAAAGCTACTTAGTAAGAAAGTTGCAGCTTTAAAGCCTTTTAAAACTAACCAGATCTGTAACTGAATAGTTTTAACAGTATCTTTCTTCCTATTTAGCCTGATTTTAGGAAATTTAGATTGAATCAATTTTTTTTTTTTTTCTGCATGTCTGAAATAAAACTTTCAACCGTGCTAATAATCTAACTTATCTCAGATTCTTGGCTTTGAC